AGATAAACAATGCATGCAAATCAAACACACTTGCACACTTACACCCTTAGGGTAATTTCACTTGTTTCCTTATAAAAATTATCATGTTATACATGTGAGATGTCTTAGCAAAAACAAATAAAGAATACAAGATCATATTCCCTCGATGACGCTACAAATGTTGCCTTTCAAAATGATCTTAGTCCCTAAAAAACAAACGCTAAGATATCTCATAACATTGCTATCATGACTATACGATGACCCACATACGTCCCTTTACATCCAAAGATAAGGCTCCTTACCAATCAACGGTGAGATAGCAATATCAAAGGAAGGAAGAAATGAACAAAGACTTTTGAGTAGGTAGATTATTCTTAGTTGCTTGTTCATTTTTAAAACAAACATCCTTGCACACTTTCAAAACAAACACTTTCAAAACAAACACCAAACACTTTCAAAACATGAAATATTTTCAAAAAGTATAACACTTTGTATACGTTCTTACGAACGAGAACTATTACAAAGTTTGCCTAAACAAATGCGCCTTTTCAAAAATACTTTCAAAAATCAGCACAAAGCATATTTTTAAACAAAAGAAAGTGATCTAGAAAGAAACTAAGAGCCCATAGATAACTATGGATGAAAAAGGTGTTAATACATTCCCTTTTCATAATTTACCCCCCGAAATCAAGAAATAATCTCAAAGGTCTTTCCTGTTCTTTTCCTCCTTTCCTTTTGGATAAAAGAAAAGTCGGTGGCGACTCTTGCTAACCGCAACAATTGCGATAAAACGCAAAATATCCCAAGTCAGTTCTCCCACCGTATTACAAAGTGCTATAGAACAGATGACACATTTTATTGATGAGCTTAGAACACAAACGTGAATGCTCCTCAATGCCTCGGTTGGAGGGACATTGAGACTTAAAATTGATGAAGAGTTGAAAACATTGATTTAAGATGTGTGTCAGATCAAGGTTCTGAACGATTGTACTTATGATTAAAACGAGAAATTGTATTCATAGATTTATTTATCAATTAAGTAATGTCTATTTACACATCTTGTGTAAAACAAATTTAAATTTATTGAGGCGTTGGTTTTTTAGCTTCTTCATCTTTCACTCATTTTATTTCTTAGTATAATTGTGTACGACATAATCATTCCAATCACATCTATGGTACAAAACTCCGCTACACCGAGTGATTTCATAAAACTCTAATTTTTAAAAGAAAACATATTTTAAATTGGTATTTTTGGATACAATCTATTCAACCCCCTTCTATAACATTAAAGTACATATTCTCCCTCAACAATAATCGATAAGACTTTGTCTGTGTGTGTAGCCCTTCCCAAAACTAAGTAAGAACCTTAAAGCAACATACATAACACAATTAGGAAAGTCCCATGACATATGGGCCGTCATTCCAAACTTTGGTGAAATCCATTTCCAAGCCATCTAAGGGTATTGCCAAAAGTTACAATCTAAAAATAACGGACATAGATCCTCTGCAGTGGCTGAATGGTCCTGTTGAATCACGACCATTCATTTCAATCTATCACATGAAGTCAACAATATTATTTAATATGTGAATGGCTAAGATTTGGAGCTGGACCAAAAACATGAGAGAGGCGTAAGAGAGGATATGTGTAAAAAAATAACATATAATAAGAATACAATCAGAATATGCGCAAACCACCTAGATGCAATTACTAGATGCCAATGCATGCGATTAAACAATATTTCCAAATCCACTTTGCAGAGAGGTGTGCTTATAGCTTAATAATTCATTATTTTACTGGCTTCTTGCTTAATACCACACCTTAGGTTATAGGATCCTCAGTTGGGATTCTCGCTTGACATTATGCCAACTTCAACTCAACATCTTCTCAAGGCTAGGTGAGCATTTCTTATTAGTCTGCATCACAACCATGTATGTGTGAGCATGTATTACACCAACAGTATATGCAACACAATCACTATAATCACATTCATATGATAAAACATGTATGCTTTAATCAAGTGTAATATGTTCCTAAACATCCAACAAATGAAAATTCCATTTTTATTAACAACATCATTGCTCATTTCTAAAGGTTAAAGGCCGTTTAAAATGATCCTAACTTTGGTGATACTACTTTAAGAACTTATAGTTATAATAAAAAAACTTATCAAATCAAGAGTCTAACAATGCCAATTCAACCCCTAAATAAGTATGAAGCCAAAGCCAATTCCATAAGACAATCGAGGAAGTTATGGGTAATCACAAAGGATTGTTTAAAAGCACCATATGGAGTAAACCAAGGCCTTCATGTCATTTGAATTATGAACCTCCCGTGAAACAAGTTAAAGACAAATAAAATACTACAACCCCAAAAGATAAGTTTAAATTGATTTCTGTTTATTCATTATCTATTCTAATTCTAGTTGCAATATTTTTAGCATGACTATTCTTCAAATGTAGATTTAAACTAAATTTATTCATAAAGTGATTTTATAACCACAAACATAGATATTTGATCCTAACAAAAGCTTCTTATTTTTTAAATGCTTAAGGAAATAAAGCGAGTCTTGTGACAAATAAGTGCATACATATGAAGTAAATACCATTAAATCCTCATAAAGTCAAACACCTAGTTCGTCAATGATCCACTGCCCCACCTGGTCTGGCGATGGTATAAGGTCCCCTTTAGTCCTTTGATTAGCGTGATAAAATCACAACTCTAATAATGTAAAGCCTATTATGACATTTAATGATCATGCGATGTAAATCATATTGCGACCTCCTTATAAGATAACATCGACCTCCCATAGTGTAATACCTACCACAAACTCCAACAATGTAAAGCCTATCACGACCCCTTCTAAAATGACATCAACCTCCTATGTTGTAAAGTCTATCATGGCCTCCAACAACGTAAAACATATCAAGACCCCTCTAAGATAACACCGACCTCCCATGGTGTAAATCCTACAATGGCCTCCAATGACGTAAAGCCTAACGCAACTTCTTTCAAGGGGACACCAACCCTCTACCAAATTTGATGCCTTACGACCAAGATAAGTGACAATTATTTTATTTTACTGTTAGTATATTATTTTGTTGCACCATGATTTTGTAGTTCTAGCATGATATACACATAAGTCTTGTTGATTAATAGACAATGTTATAGATTTTCGTACATTATTATGCACTAGAAAATTATAACTTTTGTTAAAAATATCCATGCATTTATAATGGCTCAGTTGAAAGATCTACAAGAACTAAAGGTGAATAATTATACATCGGAGTCCACTCCTACAATTTAAAAGCATGAAAGTTCTGAGAGAATGATTTTATCCTCACCTCAAAACATAGTGTTTCGTATACGAGAAATACATTTACGTAATGTGATTCATATTACTAATTTTCCGCCTATCTCTTCGGTTTGAACGAGGATGGTCTGGACAACATAGAAAACTAAATTCTCTCACACGACTTCTCAAATATGACGAGAAAGAGCCTTTGACACTTTTATTCTAGAAAAATAAATCAAACACTGTATCTGGGTTACGTTAACTTACAACTCTTTGGAGTATTAACAATCGAGTTTGCTACATTTCATTTTATTTTTATTGTCACATGAGATGACAACAAAACAATTTATCAAGACCCTTATGCAAAGACAAAGAAGCCGTATACTCCACCAAGTTAGATTTGTATCTGACCAACATAATCAATCAAAATACCTTGGCAATTTAACTCCATATAAGCTAACAAATTTATATATGTATCGACTAACAATTTTTTATTAGGAAGTGGTGCATATTTTTGTTATGTGGGATAATAAGTCGGACTCCTCCTCCAAGCTTCTACACTTGGCTGGAGTAAGAGTCTTGACCCTCATCTTTAATAAATTAAACTATCTTTTAAGCTACTAAAATCGATCGAGTAAGAGTCTCGACCCTCATCTTCAACATGCCAAACCCATCTCCAGGCTCATATGCTTAACTAAGTAAGAGTCATGACTGTCAACTTCAGCAAGCTAGACCCCACCTTTCTAAGCTCTTACGCTTGATCGAATGGAAATCTTGATATTTTCTAGTATTCCCACTTCTCGTCTAGCCACCAGGTTGTTAGGAAATCAATGGCTAAATAATCAATACAACAAATTAAATCGACAAGAGTCTCAACAAAGAGATTCCTAATTAGCAAATGTCAAACTTAAGCTATTACCTGACTCCGTCAATAAAAGACTTATGGTACTACTTTTATGGGTTAAGCTTTTGGTTGACCCAAGGCCAATTCCACAACTTCAAAATTACATAAACTTGACATTATGAGCTTTCAAGGTACACGATTCCAAAACATGAGAGAGTAAGTAGAAGATGATCCATTTAAAATTTTTGAATATATAAGGAGCTTATATTTCAATCAAAGAAAAAAATCTCAAAAGTAATAAAGTTTATATTTTATTTTGGTCTGTGGAAACAGCGATTTAAAAGATACGGAAATAATATAAGAACATGAACCGATTTGATTTTAAATTTGACAACGGTTGACATTACAACCAAAATCAAATTTTTAAACACAAATTCAATTCAAACGTACCAACAAAATCAATTTTAATTATAATTCCTTATATTGTAAAGAGTCGAAAAGCCAAAAGGTGTTGTCAACCATCCAGCGGCTTAAACAAAAAGCCATTGTGGAACAAAGTAGTAATTGATTTTTACAAACTGTATGAAAGTCAAAACTGGATTTCTCAATCTCGAAAGTGGACCCCATATAAGATACGTTTTTGGTCTTGTCTCACTATCAACACTGTTAACGTTATTAATATAAACAGTGACATTAGAAGCGACAATTGCAGGTGGGATAATCCTCTGTGCTTGATTTTTTGCTTTTTTAAACACACAAAATCACTCAGATTTCGATCCTCCGTATCTCTCTCTCTCTCTTTCCTTTTCTCTTTTATATATACTTTACCATTTTTCAACAACTTCTTCAAACCATTATTCTCTTCTCATCATCCACATACTATCATGGCTATCTCCGGCGATGTTCTCAGAGACTTTTCACCTGAAGTTGTTGGTGAGTTTCACGTCCTTGCTGTTGATGATAGTTTCGTCGATCGTAAGGTTATTGAAAGGTTGCTCAAATTCACTTCTTGCAAAGGTATTTCATAACCCTTTTGTGTTTTTCATCTGTTTTTTTGGTTCTACTTGGATTATATTCTCAACTGTTATTGTTTGTTTTTGTTGCAGTGACTGTTGTTGAGAGTGGAACTAGAGCTTTACAGTATCTAGGGTTGGATGGTGACACGAGTTCAATTGGTTTTGATGTAAGTAAATTTTCGACTTTTTGGTTTAGAAATTTTTTGTTTTTTTGATGTGTTTTATGTGTATGTGTAAGGTGCTTATGTGGTTGTTTTGATGAATATGGTTACAGGGTGTGAAGGTTAATATGATAATGACTGATTATTCCATGCCTGGGATGACAGGATATGAACTTCTCAAGAAGATTAAGGTGTGTGTTTTGTTTTTTGAGTTCTAGAGATTAGAGATTGCAGTTAATGAAATTTGGTTATGTTTTATCCTTTCTGTTGTTGTTAATCTTTACTTATTTTTCTGTTAATTTCAGCAGGAATCATCTGTTTTTAGAGAAATTCCAGTGGTGGTTATGTCATCTGAGAACATCTTGACCCGAATCGATAGGTAACATCTTTGATCAGATTAACACACTCTTATGAATTACTATGGTTATATTCACATACTGTTAGACGTTTGTTGATTAGATTAGCCTATGTAGTTCCTTTGATTTTCATCCTGGTTTATCTTCGAAAGACATGTATATTTTCGGGCTTGAACCCCATTAAGACTAGAAATCCATTGGCCCGTTGGTGAAGACTTGTGTCCCGAGAGTGTGCTCCTTTCAAAGGCTTAGGTTCAGATCCTGTTAGGTGTGTTAGCTATTCCTGTGTTGGGCTAATCCATACATAGCCTTGCTTTGGCTTTTGAAATCCATTTGCGGTAAACGCGTAGACTTGAAATCCCTTACATTTTTGGCAAATCTAGGCTGGTTCTAGCAATCTTCTTTTGAAGATTTGGATTACATGCTCAACCACCTAATCTTAAAATATAATCACTAATTATGTAAAAGATCTTAGGAGATCTCAACAACTAATTAGGTCTAGGCTGGCACCAAGTGTAATGCATGTTTTTGAAGATCTTTGTTTATCAAACAATAATTCAACTAACTAATCCATTCACTTTTCTCACCAACACATGGCCCCAAATCCTTTCCTTAAAATTTGTGGCTAGCAACAATCTTGCAAAATCTTTCTATTAATGGACAGAATCATCTTGTCAATAATATCATCATATGGACAGAATCATCCTGTCAATAATATCATCATGTTAGACACATGGAGTGTGCCAGAACATGTTGCTTTTATTTTGCAATTGTGTCTAACAATAATTGAAGCATGAAAAAAAAGAAAAATTCATCTTCTTACTAGGACCCTGTTGGCTTGACAGCATTATTGTCAATATTATAGTTGCCACAATTATGGTGCCTGAAATTTGTTGATCCATGAATGGAAGTTTCTTACTTCCTTGTTTGTTTCATATTTATTGATTGTTGATTTTTGTTTATTCACAGTTGCTTGGAGGAAGGAGCAGAAGAGTTTCTATTGAAACCGGTCAAGTTGTCCGATGTGAAACGCTTGACAGATTTCATCCTAAGAGGTGAAGGAAAGCAAGTGGGAGGAAAAAGATCTCAAAAAAGAAGCCGATCAGATGATTTCGTTTCATCTCTATCGACCTCATGTTCATCATGCGATCTATCATCACCGTCACCATCTGAAATATCGTCGAAGAAATCTAGACTATAGCCAGTGGTTCACTTATGTCTCCTTTTTTGCTGAACTATTGTTCATATCGCGATGTAATTTGCATCTATACTAAAAAGATTGCTGACAATGAGTATAGGATTAGGACTGATGAAGATTTTATATCAGGAATGACTTGCTTTTGTAAAGGAAAAGTTTATTATTAGAAATTTAACCAAATCAGCCATTTTGCAGGGTCTACTTTTTTGTTTACTTACTCTTGATCTGTTTAATTATTTATCAGTAACATTTAAAATGATACTAAAGTTATTTAGTGTATTTCCTTATTGTTCTTTTGTACATATGATTTATGGCAGTTGCCATTGATCATTCTAACTACCCTTCCAATTTAAAAGGAATGTTAGCCTAAGTTGTGCTAGAGAACCGATGAAGATCCAAGTAGGTCCAAGGAATTTTACAAGAAGGGTCAAATTAGTTCCTATCTTACAAGAAAGTATATGGATCGATCATGATGTTCTTTGCTCGTCGTAAATATTGGACCACATAAGATGATTTGTATTTCTTAATGGAGACATTAATGAAATAATATGGTACAGTGCCGGGAAATTATGTCACTAGACACAAAGTAGATTACTTTCATATTGACTAATCAGATTTTTAGTCATGGATCCATGCATTCCAATAATCCTTGATAAATCAGATTCTAGTTTATATGTGTTTGCTTCCGCACTAAAGTACAATTATTTAGTTTAATCGTTTTATTGAGCATTTTATATTATTGATTACTAAATTAATTCCTATCGCACTCAGTCGTCCATAAATTTTTTTCAGAATCAATATGATAAGCTTGTTGAGAAATATATCAATTAAAACACCTAATAGAATACCAGCAAATGATTATCTAAAGATCATAATTTTTCCATATTTATGAATAATATAAAAAAAAAATTATTATTATAATCTCACCTATATAAAAGGTAGCTAAATTCTCTTTTGGATTTTTTTCTTAAAAGATTTGCTCTCAAATTTATTAAGCTGTTGTAATTGTTGATGATTTAAAATGAAGTATGGAAGTAACGTTTATAGTAATGCAAATTGATGAGTAATGATGTGGTGTCTGATTAAGTCTGTACAAATTCTTTTTCAGCTGACATACTAAATTTTCTTTACCTTTGACTGCTTTATGTAAATTTCTTTTTCTAAATCTCCATGAAGAAATGCACTTTTCATATCCAGTTGTTCCACATGTAGATTCAAACTTGCCGCCAAACTAAGCACTACCTGAATCGATGACATCTTTACCACGGGTGAAAAACCTCTTCAAAGCCAATTCCTTTCTTTTGAATGAAGCCTTTCATGACTAATATCACATTGTATCTCGGTCATGAGTTATTCTCCTCAGTTTTTAACTTATACACCCATTTGTTTTTTAGTGTCTTTTACATTTAGGTAAATCTACCATCTTATAAGTCAAGTTCTCATACAAGGATTTCATTTCTTCTTGTATTGCTTTCAACCACTCCTCTTTATGGTTATCCATCATAGCTTCTTCATAAGACTCTGATTCCCCCTCATCACTAATTAACACAAATTCTATTACAAAATATTTTATTTGCGGTTTAGGTATCCTGAATAGCCTTATTAATTGGAGCTCTTATTCTTCATCCTCATATTCTTCAATCATATTTTCATTTTCACCATCAGTTATATTACCATTTGTTGCTTCTCTAGTTGGATGATTATCATTTGGAGGTTTATTTTTCGCATCTCTAATATCTTCTATTTCATCTTCCCCATAATGCTCAAGAAGAGGAATTGGATTCAAGTTGATTGAATGTTCTTTAGAAATAACAAGCATAACTCCCTTATGAACATCTTCAATATTCTAGTCTTCAAAGAAGACAACATCTCTGCTTCTGATAATATTTATCTCTACAGGATCCTATAACATGACCCAAATTCTTCATATTTGTATCCCAAGAATATGCATTATTTCGCCTTTGAGTCGAGTTTTGATTTTTCATATTTTGGAACCTGAAGAAATGTTATACAACCAAACACCTTCAAATGGTTATAGGACACATCTTTACATGTCTTAAACCTATTTGGAACATCACTATTCAATGGATTTTAAGGGGATAAGTTGATTAAATTAACTGCAATCATCATAGCCTCACCCCAAAAACTCTTGGGTAACATGGCATGAGATAACATTGTTCTCACTTTTTTAACAACTGTCATGTTCATTCTCTCAGCCACTCCATAGTGTTGTGGTGTCTTCGAAACAAAACTTTCATGATGGATTCCACTACTCATATAGTAATGTTTGAAATCTCTAACAAATTTTCATCCATTATCAGTGCGAACATATTTTAACTTCTATACAATTTCTCGCTTAATGCTAGCATGAGACTTTATGAATATTGCAAACACCTGGTCTTTTGTTTGGAGGGCACACACCAAAAATTTTCTATAATGGTCATCAATAAAAGGTAACAAAATACCCTACACCTCTAAGAGTACTAGTGGTCATTGGACCACAAACATCAGAATGCACGCAATCTAAAATATATGGTCTTTTATGTGGGGCCTTATATTAAAATGAAGCTCTATGTTGCTTTCCAGCAAGCAATGTGTACATGGCTTAAGAGACATTTTCAATTCTTTCACACCTATTAAAGTACCTATTTTGACTAGAATTTGAAGTCCCTTCTCACTCATATGTCAAAGCAGCTTATGCCATAGCTTGACCAATGAGTCTTCTCTGAAAGCACTAATGCACACATTATTAACTTTGACTTCTATCTCATAAATAGTTCTCACTTTATTGCCTCGGGCTATTACCAAGTAACTTTTTGTTAGCTTCCATTTCCTTTCCCCCAATAACACTAGTATAGCATTCTTTTCCTATTAGTTTAGTGGATATTAGAATGAGTCACATGTCATAGATATGTCTCATATATTTCAATGTTAGGTAACATCTGGTGTTTGTTTTTAGACATATATCTCTTTTTTCCATAATTTTTGATGTATTATCATGCCCCATTCTTACATGACCAAAATCACCGTTTATATAGGAGGAAAAGAAATCCATTTTGATGTTACATGGAAAGATGCACTAAAATCCATAACCTAACATGTTGTTATCTTGAAAAATCTTAAGGTATTCAAGCATGTGTATTAAACGAGGATATTATCATAAGCTAAGGGTCATCCTCTAAAGTAGGGGTTTTTGGGAAATTGGAGCCAAAGTGTTTGAAAATTTGGTTTTATTAAACTAGATTTAATGTTTAAAGGGAATGTCACGCCAAACTGTCGAAACTGAGTCAGGTCAACCAAAAGGAAATAAAAGAATATATGTTAAGAAATGGTCGAAATTGGTTTAGTCGACCAAAGGGTGAAAGACAAGGAAAATGGTCAAAATTGGTTTTTGTTAACCAAAAGGGTTTCTGGACTTAGAAGAATTGTTGTTGATTTTTAAATCTTGCCAAAGGGAAAGTGTCGAAGCGGGTCAAAAGTGGTTTACTTTCAGAAGTTAGGAGCGGGGAGATTTAAATTTCAAAGTCATCAGCAGTTTCCAGCGGTTTACAATTTGTTTAAGCGCCAAATAGGTGGCGACATCCAGTGAAGCGGTTGTCTCAAGATTTTAATATTGTCTGTAGATTTCATCTAGGCAGTTACATTGTAAATATTATAAATAAGCAGATTTAGTGTAGTTTTTTGGTGTGTTCACTTGTATGCTCAAATTACTTGTCAAAACTCGGTCATTTCGAGCGTTAAGAAACAAAGAATGAAGAAGTGCTTGATGTACGTGAATCACCACTTTTATTTCAATGCAAATCCTTTATTTTTCAATTATCTCTTTTGAATACTTTATTTGCTTTCTATGTACTGTCGAACAAAGTCTTTACGTTATTTTCTACTTCGCGTAAACAATTTAATGCTCTCTGTCGGTCACGAGTCACTAGTCAGTTAGTTTATTGAATCTTATTTTCATATGAATACCTTCTGTCGGTCATGAGTCACTAGTCAGTTGATCGATTCATAGTGTGGAAAGTCGTTATACTTGTTCCCTTAATCACAGAAAACCATTTCCCTTGATAAGGATTTAGATAGAATAAGTATAATAATAAAACTCTTAGCACATGTCTTAAGATCAACTGGTCGATCTTGCGAGTTACCCTTAGTTTTAGAACTTTGGGAGGACCAGCGGTTGTTTACCATTTTCCACAGTAAACAAATTGGCACGCCCAGTGGGACACAGTGCTAAGAATTTGGCTTAAGTGTATGCATCTTAGAAATGGAAAGTTAACCAAAGAGTATAATAAACCATCATCTAGGAAGCATATATTAAGAATTACAATTCCTGATAATCCAAACGTAGACGAAATACCATCACGAACTTTAACTACTACTGATCCAGTAGTTTCTCAAGTTGTACCTTTTCCTCTAGTCAGGTCAAATGCAGCAGGTTCCACACAAATTTCTCAGGCTCCACCGGGAAGCCCAAGGCCTGTAATGACTACGACCACCATACCTAATGTGCCTCGTTTTGGTAATGTGGATCCTGTTTATGGAATGTTGTATTCCATGATGCCAGGATACCAGTCAACGTCAAATGCAGCAGTGGTGTCAGATAATGTTTAAAATTTGAACTCCCCTTTACAAGGATCTGCACCATGAGGAAATAATAGAGACAACAAAATTAGAGGAATGCCTTCTCAACCAATAGTACCGCCTCTCACTAAAACTCCAGTAGCAGTGTTAAGGCAACAAATGTATGATAGTAACCATGAGTTAGTTAATATGTTAACTAATCAAATGGGTAATGTATTTAATCCTATAGTACAAGAGTCAGCTGAGACTAATAGGCAGTCTGCTTAAACAAATCGACAGGTGATTGCCCAATTAACACGTTTGTGTAATTTTTTAGGTGCTCCCCCAACACCTATTCGACAGGCGCCACTTGTTCGACTAGATGCCCCTGGTCAAATGGACATGGGGGAAATACATGATGATATTGTCCATCAGGGACAAGTGCT